CCTGTGGAAGCAGGTGTCTCCACACCACAGAGGTTGCAACTGTGATTTGTGGCATGGTCTGAAATAACTGCAACGTTTGTACTAAATATTCATAAGCTCTTAGAAGGGTAAATCATCTTTATTGAGCCAGATAGTTGTCTGTTCTGTATAACATAAAATATACTTTGTTTGCCTTCTTATGTTAAGGTCTGTATATTTTATTTGTATGGAATTCTTTTTCAAATAGTTATGTTAAAGAATTATTCTTGTTGGTGGGGAGGATCTTCCTATTTTTAAATTAGTGGTTGCGTGTTATATAAACATTAAGAATATCTCCCCCATGAGTTCTCGATGAACACACTCAGTAGGGCAGGCTAGGAATGTCATGTGGGTAATGTGGTCTTCAAGTGCTTAACTGCCCACGTTATATTGAGCTGCTTTCTTTAAAACTTTTGGTTATAGGCAGAGATGAGACCATTATCTTAGTAATCAACTTCTTAGATTTATCTATAGCTGCCATGTTATAGTGTAGTTAAAGTTGTTAGGTATATGCAGCCTGTGAGGTGGCTACATAGGACAGACTGTAAGGTTTTCATGGTATGTATGCATATGCATGAAGGCTCAGGGAGCTGGTTTGCCCAAGGTCTAGGTGAGTGACTGGGAACAGGGCTCAGGTGCAACTTCTGGACAGGAGGCTGGCTTCCTGAGCTACACCACATATTCCTGAAACTGCCACCAGTGTCAACACCAAAAATCCAGCTCTGAAATAAATTAAAAAAAAAAAAAAGGCAGAGTTACACAGAGAGAAGGAGAGACTGAGGGAGAGAGCCCACCGTCTGCTGGTTCTCTTCCCAGATGGCGTCAGTGGTGTCAGGCTGACCCAGGAGCCTGGGACTCCAGCCTGGGTGGCAGCGGTCCAGGTACTTGGGCATCTTCCACTGCTTTCCCAGGCGGAGTAGCAGGAAGCTGGAATGGAGTGAAGCGGCTGCGACGGGAACTGGCGCCTACATGGGTGCTGGCGTCGTAGGCAGCAGCTCACCCTGCTGTGCCACAGTGCGGCCCTAAGTAATCACGGTCTGTTCAAAATAACGTCTGTGAGTGTCCCCCCAGCAGCAGAGGTAACTAACAACAGGCGGTGGAAACAGTCCTGGGGGGTTATATGTGCTTAAAGAAAAAGTCACCTTAGAGGGAATTTTAAAAAATCTATTTTGGGGAAAAACACGGGCAAATTCTTCACTAGACTGACAAAAACAGAAGACGTTAATGATTAAAATCAGAAAATGGGGACACTACTAGCAAACTTCCAGAGATAATAAATGTTACAAGAGAATACTCCACTGGTACAGAAAAGACACTTGATAACTTCCACTATCAAAGCGTTCAGAAAACCAGGGCTAGGAGGGCTTACTGAGCAGGTTACAGAGCATTTCTGGAAACCCCCACTGACGTCCTAGCCAACGGGGCACGACTTGGCATCCCTGCTCCAAGACAGGAACAGGGGAACGTGCCTGAGCTGTGCGCCGAAGGTGCCTGGCCCCAGCACAGTGGGCTCAGGGGGATGATTAGATTGAGGGGGTCGTTAGGGTGGTGTCCTTGTGAGAGGAGACCAGGGTCCCGCTGTCCTCCTCGGCCACGCGAGGGGGGACACAGTAAGGTCTGCAGTGCGAGAGGGGCCTTCACCAAAACCCGGACGTCGGTATCCCGGTCGTGGGCCTCAGCCCGCAGGGCCACGAGAAGCAGCGGCCTGTTCACTCCACCAGTTTACGGCGTTCTGTTCCTGCCGACTGAGGCTCCCACGCTGGCCACTGCTGTCCGTGCTGTACTGGAAGCTCTGGGCAGCGCAGTTAGACAAGAAAAGCAAAGGATTCAAACCGAATAGGAAGTAGTAAAGCTGTCTCTAATCCCAGATGACGTGATTATGTCTGTAGAAAATTCCAAGGAACCCACAAGAAAGCTGCTGGAGCTACTATGTTCAGCAACATTTTCAAGGTGTAATACCAACACAGAGAAAAAACTCAATTGTGTTTCTGTACAGCAGCAGTGAACAATCGGAAAGGAAATTAAGGCAGTTCTATTTACAGGAATTACCTAAAACACAAAATACCCAAGAATAAATATGGCCAAGGGGCTGCAGACACATTCACCGAAAGCTGCTAACCACTGCCAGCGAAAGATTAGAGAAGACCTGAGCAAGTGGGAAGCCATTCTGCTCATGGATAAGAAGACTGAATGTTAGGATGTAAATACTGACCAAAGTGATCTACACATCTGGTGCGGTCTCTTTCAGAATTCCACACAACACAGAAGGAGATCCTCAAATTCATATGAAATTGCAAGGTAACTCAAATAACCAAAACAGTCTTGAAAGAGAACAGCAGAAGTGGAGAGCCCACACATCCTGATTTCAAAACTTACTACAGAATGGAAGTCATCAGAAACAGCGTGGCAGTGGCATAAGGCCAGGCATAGACTAATGGAGTGGAATTAAGAGTCTAGAAATAAACCCATATATCTCTGGCTAGTGGTGTTTTGACAAGGAATGTGAAGTCCACTTGATGGGGAAAAAACAGCTGGATGCCCCCATCCCTGATAGAGTGAGACTGGACCCCTGCCTCACACCGTGTGTGAAAAATTAAGTCAAAATGCATCGGCCTCTTTTAGTTTCTCAATATCAGGAAGGCTAATTAAAGTAAAAATTATTTCATTTTAAACAAATGAACACACTTTGTATGTAGGTTATTTGCTTACCAAGTCTGTATTGGACAGCCGTGTTGTGATGGTGTTCTGTGCTGGGGACTGGAGGAACAGTGGTGAACAGAACCGGAGTTGATCCCAGTGCCAGTGGAATTACGGTCTAGAGGGCGAGACAGACATTGAGAATATCGTTACACTAACGAATGTAGAATTCCAAGTGTGATTTGGTGTGTGTGCGCCGGGGACTTGTGATGAGGAGCGTGAGCTGGTCTCCCTGAAGGGGGGGAGGGGTTGCACTGAGTACCCAGGATGGGCAGAGAATGATGCAGACACACAAGGGAAGCCAGTAGTTAGCTCCTGGGGTACTGGGGGGGGGGGGGGGGGGGGGGCGGGGGGGGGCAGGGTGGGGCCGGGGGCTGTCTTTCCAGGGATAGTTGTGGGCATACAAATGATTTTCACTTTATCTGTTCTCACCCACTCTTGGGCTACAGTATCAGTGACTGTTTTCTGACTGTGTGTTCCTTCTGCCTCCTAGAATCCCTCAAGTGTTCTTGCATGGAGCACGTTTAATATAGGCATTCACTGGTAGAGAGTATTTGAGTCTACCAGAAGTTAAATTTATTTTATGGTTTAAAATTCTAAGGTATTTAAGAGTTTCCGTTTTAAATCTTTAAAGAACATTTATCTTGACTTTAAACCTCCGACTAAATAATAAATGCCATCAGATAAAATATAAATAAATAAATATGCTCTAAGAACTACTTCTTAAGTTATGCTATAAGAATTGCTTATATTTTAATTTAAACTAGAAATTTTTGAAATGTAAAGCCTCATTTTGAATGGAAGTAATATGAACAGTTTATGTAATTTCTGCCAGGGAATTAATATGAGCTTTCTTTAAACCCCTGTCATTTATAATCAAGGTGCTTTTAACTTAGTTGATGTTGGCATTAACAAATACTGCTAGATTCATGGTATAGAAAGAAATCTCATCGAAACTTACTGGGAGCTGCTTGATGCCTGAGGTTTTGTAGTGCTTTCTATGGGCTGTGCCGCTGCTGGTAACTTTAATTCATACTAGAAATTTAAATTCACCCCTAACCGAAAAGTAAAGTTACTTAAATTCTGTACATGCTAACCTTTGGAAAAATAGCTGAAAAATGAAGGCCCATATGATGTTGCTGGCCCCCTGCCAACAGCTTATCATTTAGATCAATCTCTCCTTGAGCCCACGAGTTGAACGTCCTGAGCTGCAAAGGTCAGCAGACACCCAGCCTGGGTGGCGGCTGGCTGTGGCTGGTGACCAGCCCAGTGGCGCTGTCTGTCGCGTGGATGCTTACGCAGAGCTGCTGTTAGCATTTCCTCAGTTTGTTTCATGTGACTCGTCAGCTGTGTGTTTTATCTACATCTCTGGGCCCTCTTTTTTTTTTTTTTTAAATATTTATTTATTTGAAAGGCAGAGTTACAGAGAGGCAGAGGGAGGGAGGGAGAGAGAGAGAGAGAGAGAGAGAGAGAGAGAAAGAATATGAATCTTCCGTTTGCTGGTTTACTCCCAAATGGCCGCAATGGCCGGAGCTGAGCTGATCTGAAGCCAGGAGCCAGGAGCTTCCTCTGAGTCTCCCATGTGGATGCAGGGGCCCAAGGACTTGGGGCATCTGCTGCTGCTCTCCCAGGCTACAGCAGAGAGCTGGATAGGAAGTGGAGCAGCTGGGACTTGAACTGGTGCTCACCTGGGATGCTGGCACTGCAGGTGGCGGCTTTACCCACTATGCCACAACACTAGCCCATCTGGGCCCTCTTAATGTTTTGTGTTAATCCCTGAAAGAGATTAACTAGCTTTTTAGCTGTGTAAGCTCTGATACTTCTTAAAAATTTATTTATTTGAGAGGTTGGGTTGCAGATGGAGGGAGGGGAAGAGAGAGAGCGAGCTTCCACCCCTGGTTCACTCCCCAGTGGCAGCAGTGGCTGGAGCTGAAGCCAGGAACCAGGAGCTGCTGGCAGATCTCCCACACGGGAGCAGGGCCCAGCACTTGGGCCTTCTTCTACCACCTGCCCTCCCAGGCCGCAGCGGAGAGCTGGATCACCGCAGGAGCAGCCAGGTCACTCACAAGTGTCAGCGGCCAAAGGCAGCGCAATCCTGGCCTCACTCGCTTTAACGCAGTTTTATCTATACCGCTTCTTTGGTTTCTTTTCCTTAGAAAAGATTTCTAGAATGAGAGCAAGGTGTGTATTGTGTTGCTTGTATAAATGACATAATTTAAGCTACCTGCAGAATTCGTCTTTTCAAAATGGTGACATTAATGACCTTTCTTGGTTATTCCATGAAGAATATCAAAGAATATCCCAACAACTAAAGATGTGGAGCCGCTCCTTGAAATCGATGGGGATATAAGAAATTTTGAAGTGTTTTTGTCTTCGAGGACGCCGGTTCTTGTGGCACGAGATGTAAAAACCTTCTTGCCGTGCACTGTAAACCTTGACCCCAAACTACGGGAAATTATCGCAGGTGAGTATGTGTGGCCCATTTAGTTCTTCTCCTTAAAGTCCTCAGAAGGTTGCCCTTTTCTAACTCAGCATGTAAGTTTCTCCTCCATGAAAACCGGGAACTATGGACCAAGGCACCTCACAGGCAAATAAATGACTGAGGACTAGGAGTCTTGGCCTCCCCTTGGTGCTGCTCAGAAAATGCTATTTGTTGAACTCGCTGTGTTACGCTCTTGCTTCCCAGTCCCCAGACCTTGACTTTGGAGTCAAGACTTGAGGGTATCACTCCCTCGTAACGTTCTTCTTACCAGTCTTCTGTTCTTAACCGAGGACTCTCTCCATGGGAGTAACAAAATCTTTAGATTATTTTTTTTAAAAAGGTTTACTTATTTATTTTTATTTTAAAAATATTTTAATTTATTTATTTGAGAGAGTTACAGACAATGAGAGGGAGAGACAGAGAAAAAGGTCTTCCATCCGCCGGTTGAGCCCCCAAATGACCGCACCAATCTGAAGCCAGGAGCCAGGTGCTTCTTCCTAGTCTCCCAAGCGGGTGCAGGGGCCCAAGGACTTGGGCCATCCTCCACTGCTTTCCCAGGCCACAGCAGAGAGCTGGATCGGAAGTGGAGCAGCTGGGATTTGAACCGGCGCCCATATGGGATGCTGGCACTGTAGGTGGTGGCTTTACCTGCTACGCCACAGTGCCAGCCCCTGCGGCATCTCGCTGTGGTGTCGACGAGTATGAGATATTAATAGTTGGTAGCACTTTCTGAATCATCAGAATTGTTAGACTATCAGAAATAACAGACGCCTCTCAAGCCAGAAAAAACATTAGCAGTTCTGATGGCTGACGGGAAGCATGCCGTGGCGGTGGCCATGGCTTTCCTCCAGGGCCCTTGGGACGTTGGAGTCCCCTGTCCAGTTAGCGCGGGTGGGGTGCTCCGCAGTCGGAGGCCCTGTTTCTGCGCGGTGATTGAAGCTGGAAGTAGTGCTGTGCTGACTTCCTGTGTCCTCTTTCTTTTGCCTCCTGCGACGACGTGACTGAACGGCTCAGACGTCCGCGCGGCCAGAGAGCAGATCAACATAGGAGGGCTCGCGTACCCCCCGCTCCCCCTCCACGAGGCTGCGGCGCGGGCGCCCTCGGGGTACAGCCAGCCCGCCTCCGTGTGCTCCTCCGCCTCCTTCAGCGGGCCCTTCGCGGGCGGGGTCGTGTCGCCGCAGCCCCACAGCAGCTACTTCAGCGGCATGACGGGCCCCCAGCACCCCTTCTACAACAGGGTAAGGGGCGCGTTCCCTCAGTCCCGACGCGCGGCTCGAGTTCCTGCTGCCGCTTTGAAGTCGCACTTTTGGTTTGAAATGGGAAGAATGTACTCATTCCAGATCTCAGAGTCTGCACGTTAGAGATGGTGTTTGCTTTTGCTTGCTATCTTGCTAAGAAAGCGAACTCCCTGGTAAGCAGTGACCGCCCTCTTTCAGGAGTCTGTTTCTGTGTGAGTAAGTGTCCTTTAGTTCTGTCTGGTACAGGATTTTACATGGACATTTGCAGTAATGATAAACTTCAGTTCCTACAGCAGTGCAGTATTTATGCACTTAATATGATTTGTGTCATTTAGACGTGAGATAATGAAGGGAAACACTGCTGGTGGTAGTCGGCTGTCATTACCAGTCAGCATCATGGGAGCTCCTTTTTAGAATTTTATTTCAAGTTATCTTCAGGCAGCCGTAATTGTTTGTTTAACACAAACATGACAATTTTCCTTTTTTTAAAGATTTTTTTAAAAGCAGAGTGAGAGAGAGAGATCTTCCATCTGCTGGTTCCCTCCCCAGATGGCCACAGTGACTGGGTCTGGGCCAAGCTGAAACCAGGAAGCAGGAGCTCCTCTCTGATTTCCCACATGGGTGACCAGACACTTGGGCGTCCTCTGCTGCCTCTCCAGGCGCGCTAGCAGCAAGCTGGATCGGAAGGGGAGCAGCCAGGACTCAAACCAGTGCTCTGCTGGGTCACGGTGCCAGCCCCAAACGTTCAAGTTTTCTAAATGAAAAGATGAGAGCCCTTTAGTCACCAGGGGTACTCAGGTCCTACTGGGCGTAGGCCAAGGCTAGCATTTTCTCTGGGTAAGAGGAGCGTGGATCCTAATGTTAACTTTTTGCGGCTGTGCTGAGACCCATTGCGGTTTCTCGTTTCTTTTGTCACCCTCTTCAGTCCATTCAGGGAAACACAGGGGTCGGTGTTCACAGAGCCACCTGCCTGCCTGCCTGCCTGCCTCCTCAGTGTCCTTTGAACTGGGAAGAGAGAGAAGTAGAGTGTAAATGTGGCAAAGACAAACTTCTGAGTTAAAGTGAATTTCCCGGTTCTGGAAAATGCTGACCATGTTGGCAGTAGGTGCAGCAGTCACAGAGCCCCGCTGTGACTCCATGGGGCTCCCCGAGACGGCTCTCCAAGGACGTACATCTGTGTGGTGGGCAGTGGGAAGTGCAGGCCTAAAACCTACTGTTATCCTACCCAACATGGCTCATAGATGCCAGTGGAAGTTTTGAACCAAGAAGTTTATTAAAAAACAACCACCAAATGTACCAAACTCTCTAGGCTGAGATTTACGTTCACCGATTTCATGAATGAAATGACCGTGCCTTCACAGTGCTTCGCCAGTTTAAAACTCTTCAGAATTTTCTTTGGTTTTTAGGTGTAGTGATTTTTTTTCTGTAAGTATTTGAGGTTTTGGGTCTTAAAGCAGAATCATTCTCTCAAGTTGTAAGAATGCTGGGAGCTGCTGCCTCAGTGTGGTGAAGCGTAGTAAGTTTTTAAAATTATTTTTGGTGCTTCCCTTCCCCTTTTTGTTTTCAAGATTTATCTATTCAAAAAGCAGAATGAGAGAGAGAGAGAGAGAGAGAGAGAAAGTGAGGGATTTCATAGAGAAGAAGTGAGGCGTTCCATTGCTCAGATGGAGCTGGGCCAGCCTGAAGCCGGGAGCCCGGAACTCTAGGTCAGGGGCCAGGGTATCTTAGCTCTGCCCTGCCGCCCCAGAGGCGTGAGCCAGGGGCCAGACTGGCAGTGGGGTAGCCCGGGCTGAGGCTGGCGCTCTAGTATGGGATGCAGGTGTCCGGGGCTGTGGCTTAGCTTGCACAGCTTCGTGAAGCTTAATCTTTCCCTGATAGAACTGGCACCTCCTGTCTATATGAATCTGGTTACAAATAAATGCTATGGTTTGAAATGTACATAACCAATAGTTATTCACATGTTAGTAACTCTAGGACATAGGGTGTAGACCAGCTCCAGGAGCTTAGAGAACACTATGCCTGGCGTCCACACCAGCGTGTCCACACGCTCTAGACTTCTTTGGGGGGAGGAGGTTGCACATTATTTCAGCTCAGTTTTGCTGCGGAAAAGTGTTCAAGGACCTCAGTGTACTCTCCGCAAAGAGTGAGCACGTGCAGTGTAAGAGAGACTTGTGTCAGTTGTAAGGTGTGAAACTTCAGTTTCTTTGTTTGAAAACGCTTACGTTAACGAACAGCATAAGAACGTAAGTAGTGTGTGTTAAGTTGGGGTATGGAGTAGAGCACGAGGGAGGCCCTCGCTGTTCCCACCTGCATTACAGTCTGGGAGTCATGTTTGGCTTCATTTGATGAGTCTCATTATACTTTGATTTCTGCGATTGTTCATGCCCTGTTTTGTTGCGTGTTTTTCCATAGCCATTCTTTGCCCCATACCTTTACACGCCAAGGTACTGCCCTGGCGGTTCCCAACATCTCATCTCACGCTCATCAGTAAAAGCGAATTTGCCCAGAGATCAGAACAATGGCCTAGTAAGTATATAAAGGGGTAACTAACTCATGAATCTCGTGATAAACGTAGATAGTGTTCCAAGTTTGATTCTTTCCTTTCCGTAGTAAGAGTGCAACTGATTTTATAAATAGTTTTAAGCTATGACTAACATAAACTGTTTTTTATTATCTTTTCTGGTAAATATCTGTGGAAGGAAAATGATAACAGTCTCGTTGGTTACACGTTGAGTTTCCTAGAACCAGAGAGTTCTGGCTTGTAATATAATGTTTGTTACCAAAACTTTTAACACTAAACCTTTACATCTGTCAGTTTCTAATATCATTTAAAGAATGTACATGTATGGTATCTGTGTATATGTAATATGTATGTTAGCATCATGGTGCAAAAAAATACAGGATGTGTAATGGCACAGCTGAAAGAGGAGGAGGAGAATTCTCCAGGTGCACTACTGACACTAATCCACAGCAGACACATCTGTGCCTAAAACAGCCGGGACTCCTGATGATAACTTAGCTCAGCCTCACTTGAGAAAGGAGTCCCTGCTAATGTACTTGTATCGGTTAGGGGTAAAGTGTCATCTGCCCTGCTGTTGAAATCAGCCTGGTGGAGGGGAGCCTGCCAGCAGGCACCGGGGTGGTCGTTGCTGTCCCTGCTCTCCTGCCCGCCCCCCTCACCACACTCTCTGTTCTGTGTTGCTAGGAGGCTATCAAGGAGGACGCTGCCGAGGGGCTGTGTGCGCCCGCAGCCCCCTCGCGGGTAATGGAGCCTCTGGTGGTGTGGAGCCGCCTCGCCGCGCTTGGCTTGGCTGTGGTGACGCAGCTCGCTAACTCCGCTTTTGCGCTGTGGTGGGCAGCTAGCCTGGAGTAGTGGGTGCTGATGGTCCAGTTCCTGATTAACTCGACGCTAACGTTTCACGTTGCCCTCGCATTTCTTCCTGCTTTCCCTCCTTCTCAGTGACGTGAGGTGGGGTCTGTTTACATTTTCCAATAAGGGAGGGGCTTTCCAGCACCGCGGGCGTGTCCGCTTGCTGGTCGTTCCGTAGTGGTCAGCGCCGTGTGCCACTGGCGGTTCTGATGAAGCCTGTGGCTGGTTACAACTGCAGAGTGTTTTTGCAAATATCCCAAATCACCCTTGAGACTACAAGAAGACGTTAGGAGCTAGCGAGGGTGGACCGGAACAGCGCCCTCAGCGGCTCCTTCCGAAGCTGGCTGTCTGGCTGGTGCAGCCTGCGTGCCAGTCTCAGTGCGGGCCCACTTCCTGTTGTCCTGTATTTGTTCAGATAAAGTCATTCTGTAACACTCAGGGAGACGGGCGGGGAGGGGCGCCAGTCTCCTGGGCGACCTCCTGCGGTTCTCTGGGAGAGCCCTCTGGAGGAGCGGGGCCACCCGCCCTGAGACCTGGTCCGGGTGCGGCTGTGGTCCGCTGCAAGCACTTTTTCCAAGGCTGGAGGAACAGTGTTTCTTTTCCCCGCAGCCGAGCGAGCGAGCGGAGAGCTCCGCCGGTGCCTTGTGACAGCGGCCCGTTGGCCGGCAGCCCTGGGCATGGCGTCTGGGGTAGCGCAGGGAGCAGCGTGGCAGCCCTGCCCCGGGTTGGGTTAAGGCTGCAGGGGCTGTCGTTCTCTGAGTCCGTCTGTCTCAGCCTTGCCTGCACAGCCTAAGACAGCCGTATTAAGCCGACTCAATTGTGCAGCATTTCAGGCTCCTGACAGCCAGCGTGCTGTTCACTTTGAGTGCATAAGGGTTTTAGAGATGAAGCTCTCGCTTCGCATGAACAGGAGCCAGTCCGTGAGTGACCACATGGAAGCAGGCGGGCTCACCCAGGGCGTTTCTGTCCGCACCGCTGGGGGAGCTGACAGCGGTTTCCTGACCACGCCGCTCCTGTTGGCAGGAGACCTGGACAGGACGCTTCAAGATGCCGAGGCAGGAAGTCGGTGCTGTAGGCTTTGTCTAGCTGTGGGCTCGGGACAGGGTCCCTGTCAGCTCTCAGGGCCTTCGCAGTCACTGTAGTTGCTGGGAACAGGATTCACACTTCTACACGTGTTTCAGGAGTGGATTTATTATTCTGCTTGCACTTTTTAAATTTCCAGCCTATGTTTTCTTTTTCTTAAATTATACTGAGAAACTACATTCATTTCCTGCTTGGAAGTCCTTGTGGCCAACTTCAACTCAACAACACTTTTTCCAAAACAGCTACTTTTAACTAAATTGCTTGGGATATTTCCACGGAAATGATATTATAGTAATGTTACCATTTAAATCCTAGAGTACAGTTAATAGTGAAAAAATGACAAAATCATGTTTATTGCTATTGTTTAGTATGTGGTTTTTAATTTTATTTATTTTTAAAAAGATTTATTTATTTGAAAGACAGAGTTACAGAGCAAGAGGGAGAAACAGAGAGAGAGAGAGAGAATCAACCTTCCACCTGCTGGTTCACTCCTCCAATGGCTGCAGCAGCCAGGGCTGGGCCAGGCTGAAGCCAGGAGCCAGGGGCTCCATCCTGGGTCTCCCAGCTGGGTGGCAGGGACCCAAGCTTTTGGGCCATCTTCCACTGCCTTCCGACGCACATTAGCTGGATCAGAAGTGGAACAGCTGGGACTCGAACTTATGCTCATATGAGATGCTGGCAGTGGCTTAACCCACTGTACCACACCACCAGCCCTTGTTTTTTTTTTTTTTTTTTTAAGTTGCTGTTAAAATGTAATGTTAAGCTTTTTTTTTTTTTAAGATTTATTTTATTTATTTGAAAGAGTTACAGAGAGAGGTAGAGAGAGAAGGAGAGAGAGGTCTTCCATCCGCTGGTTCACTCCCAAGATGGCCACAACAGCCAGAGCTACACCGATCTGAAGCCAGGAGCCAGGAGTCTCCTCCAGGCCTCTCATGTGGGTGCAGGGGCCCAAAGACTGGGCCATCTTCCACTGCTTTCCCAGGCCATAGCAGAGAGCTAGATTGGAAGAGGAGCAGCCAGGACTTGAACTGGCACCCATATAGGATGCCAGCGCTTCAGGCCAGGGCTTTAACCCGCTGTGCCACAGCGCCAGCCCCAGTGTTAAGCTTTATCTTTCAACTTTGACCCAAGTATTATTTTTCAGGTAGTTTAAATAATGTTATGTTTTTCCAGTTAGGTTAGTAATAGCTTTCCCTTGTGTTTTGGGTGTTTTGTGGTAAACTATAATTCATTACATGCCTTTTAAAAATTTGCAAGATTCCACATATATATTTATATAAAACGTTAAAAACCCTGTTTATAAGAAGGTTGATTATATAGACTGAGAATGGCTTCCCGTGGAATTCTCCAGGTGTGGGGACGCCGTAAGGCGCCTGACGCTGAGCTGGAAAGCCCTGCCCTCTGCCACTGAAGCTGTGTTGCACATTAACTTCGGTCCAGTGCTGTCAGTCGGCCGTAGACTCTAAGAACACCTCTACCAATCTAACAAGTACAAAAACATAGTAGCAATGGTTGTGTGCTTTGAAGTTAAGTTTTTAAAAAATGTATATCACTGAAATTATGTAAATTAAAGTGTACAGATTTTTTTCTTCATTACATTTATGATTTCATGAGATATAAGACTCAGGGCCTTTCTTTTAAAATTGTTTTTAGTGCAGTTATTATGTGCTGCATGCCCAGTAAAACAAAGTCCAAATTTAAAAGTGTATTTTTTTTTAAAGATTTAATTTATTTCTTTGAGAGGTGGAGTTACGGACAGAGAGAGGGAGAGACAGAGAGAAAGGTCTTCCTTCCACTGGTTCACCCCCCAAATGGCCACAATGACAGGAGCTGGGCCAATCTGAAGCCAGGAGCTTCTTCCCAGTCTCCCACATGGGCCATCCCCCACTGCTTTCCCAGGCCATAGCAGAGAGCTGGATCGGAACCTCAGGCAGAGGCTTAGCCTACTTCATCACAGTGCCGGCCCCAAAAGTGTACATTTTAACATTGGCTATAGTGTGGTTAGGTATTTCATTTGCTATGATCATACAATGTACTATCAAGGAATTAATGTTCTAAATTTAATTTTAAACTTGTACGTAGTAGGAATGTCGACTTTTCATAGCGAAGTTGATTTGGTTTTCTTATGGAATGCATGGCCCATGATTATTTTAACAGGAAAGATACTGATTCTGAGAGTGCAGTTTGGTAACTGCCGAGCACGCATGCGCATGAGATCGTGTGGGGGAGTTCCTGTGGGGCTGCGTTGTTCAGAGTTACGGGGAACTCAGGGAAGTGGCGATGGCTGACGTCTCGCTGCGGCTTCATTCTGTTCTATTCCTTCCTTAAAGCTGTGGGACGCTGGGAGTGACAGACAGACAGGTACAGAACCCTCAGTGAGGTCCCGTGTTCCCCGTAGACTCCCAGGGGCGCTCACTGCACCTTGCTGGGCTGTGGCGTCTGCCTGCTTCGTGCCCTGGGCTCCTTCTAACCGCCGCTGTCAGCCTTCGCATGGCGCCCATTCCTGCCTGGCAAGTCTCAGCCCATGTAATGCACCTGCCGAGGAGGATGACGTTTCAGAGGATAGTTTTTATCTACGTACAATGCAAAATTATAAGAGTTCCTTCAAGGAAGGCTTAATGTTTTGGTACCTTTTACCTGGAAAAAATCTGATTTTGCATTTTTAAGTTTATGTTGAGTAGTTTAAACAAACATTAACTGCGTTTAGTTTTCTGAGTTAGAAAGTGTTTCTCATTAAGTCTGACTTATCAAATCACTTTGCTGAAATGATCTGTTCTTACAACAGGTAAATTTCACGTAGAAGGCATGGTAAATGTTAAAGTATTATCTTGTATTTCCTCCTTCGCCCCTTCCCTCCGGTCTGTCGATTTCACTATCAATAAACCCTTTCCCTAAAAAAAGGAAAGTATTATCTTTTAAACTATCCTGTGTATTCTCAGAGTGTCAGTTTGTTAAGAATTTACTGAATTACTGAATATGCTTCTTGCTGTTTCCTTATCACTTCTGTATTCTTTCTTTTTCTGAGATTTCCATTCAAAATCAGTATTTTGGTTATAAGATTCATTTGGTTTCAGAATGATCTCATTATACATGATAATTTTACAAAAGGCCTGAGAATTTTATCTATAAATCACATTGAATCTGTTAAAAGCTAATTAAAAATCAGAATAAAAATGTTTTTTACAAGAGGCCCGTCAGGTGACTGCCGTCCGTCCCTCCTCAGGACGGGGACGGACTTACAGTTCTGATGGAGCTGGAGGAGTGTGTGGATGGAATTGTCAGCGTGTGTCTGTCCCTCCTTGCCAAGCGTTCCAGTCACTCGGATTCTATGTATATATACGTGTATATGTTTATAGAAAATTGTATATTCTACATAATCCCCAACGAGAGAGTTACTTCAGCTGATAACATGTGAAACTTTTAAAGAATCATGAAAGTAATGTGAAGCTTTTTTGCATTAAAAGGCCAGCACCTTTGGCAGCATGATTCTGTTGCTGGCTTCGCAGATTCTCTATGGGAATAACATACGCTTTCCTATTTTACATTCTTCACCCTAGGTTGACAAGTTTTAATTTGGTCCATGTCTAGTATATATTCTTATCAGTACCACCAGAAATAAAGTTCTTTGGGGGATTTTTTTTAACAACTTTTATTTTAAGAATAATTTTAGGCCTAAAGAAAGATGTAAAATATTGTAGTCCCTTGATGGTAGCATCGTCCTTAACGGTAGTGTAATTACCAAAAGCAGAAACTGAAATTCAGTTACTGCTATTTTTGTTCAACAGTGTTGACTAAACTACTGACTTCACTTCGATTTCTCCGTGTTCGCCGCTGGTGTAGTTTCTGTGGTCCAGGGTTCAATCCAGTTGTCTCTTGTTGCTGCTTCTCCCCCATCTGCCCTGTCTCCCTCAGTCTCCCCCATCTGCCCTGTCTCCCCCAGTCTCTCCCAGTCTCCCCCGTCTCCCCCTGTCTCCCCCAGTCTCCCCCAGTGTCTCCCAGTCTCCCCCATCTCCCCCGTCTGCCCCATTTGCCCTGTCTGCCCCAGTCTCTCCCAGTCTCCTCTGTCTCCCCCAGCTCCCCCAGTGTCTCCCAGTCTCCCCCATCTGCCCTGTCTCTCCCAGTCTCCCCCATCTCCCCCATATCCCCCCATCTCCCCCAGTGTTTCCCAGTCTCCCCCGTCTCCCCCAGTCTCTCCCAGTCTCCTCTGTCTCCCCCATCTCCCCCAGTGTCTCCCAGTCTCCCCCATCTCCCCCATATCCCCCCGTCTCCCCCAGTGTCTCCCAGTCTCCCCAGTCTCCCCCAGCTCCCCAGTCTCCCCCAGTCTCCCCCAGCTCCCCCAGTCTCCCCCAGTCTCTCCCAGTCTCCCCCAGTGTCTCCCAGTCTCCCGTCTCCCCCAGCTCCCCCAGTCTCCCCCAGCTCCCCCAGTCTCCCCCAGTCTCTCCCAGTCTCCCCCAGTGTCTCCCAGTCTCCCCCATCTCCCCCAGCTCCCCCAGTCTCCCCCAGCTCCCCCAGTCTCCCCCAGTCTCTCCCAGTCTCCCCCAGTGTCTCCCAGTCTCCCCTGTCTCCCCCAGCTCCCCCAGTCTCCCCCAGTCTCTCCCAGTCTTGCCTTCTCCTTCACGGCTGCCCAGATGGCTCAGCGCTCAGCAGCTGGTTCTGTAGGAGGTCCCTGGTGTGACTGTCTGATGTCTCCTCGTGGTGAGGGAGACGCTGCCATCATTAGGAAGGCCCTGTGTGGTGCACCCGCCGGGCAGGGGCTTCCTGGTGCTAAGGCCTGCCGCTGCCCGCTCTCAGCTCTGCAGGGTCCTGGGCTCCTGCGTGCGCGAGTGAATGCCTGCAGCGTCCCGCCCCCGCCGTGCTTCTCCGGGCACTGAGCTCAGCTCTGGCGCTGGGCCTGGTAGGCGCCGCTGTTTTCTGAGGTTTGCCGGACAGCAAACTTTTTCTGTTCCCTTTCTACTTTCATAAATGTATTCCGTTTATAGATAGGATAAGGAAAAGTGAGGGAGATTGGTGTTTCTTTCTCATCCATTTACTTATTCAATTATGAATTTATGGACAACAGTTTTGTCTATGAGTTATAATCCAGTAATTATTTTGTTGGGCAAATGTTCCTTTATGGTTTTTTTTTAAAAAGATTTATTTGTTTATTTGAAAGTCAGAGTTACACAGAGAGATGGAGAGGCAGAGAGAGAGGTCTTCCATCTGCTAGTTCACTCCCCAATTGGCTGCAATGGCTAGAGCTGTGCCGACCTGAAGCCAGGAGCCAGGAGCTTCTTCCAGGTCTCCCACTTGGGCACAGGGGCTCAAGGACTTGAGCCATCTTCTACTGCTGTCCCAGACTATAGAAGAGCGCTGGAGCTGAGCCGATCCAAAGCCAGGAGCCAGGAGCTTCTTCAGGGTCTCCCATGGGGTGCAGGGGCTCAAGCACTTGGGCCATCTTCTACGGCTGTCCCAGGCGCATTAACAGTCTCCTAGTTCACCCCGCAAAGGTCTGCAGCTGCTGATCCAAGTGGAGGCTGAAGCTGGGAGCTGGGACAGGCAGGGCCCCCAGTGGGTGATGAGCCAGCACCACACCATCACACTGCCTCCCAGCTTCTGCGTGAGCAGGAAGCTGGAGTCAGGAGCAGGAGCGGGGCACTGAACCAAGTTCTCCAGCATGGGACGTGGGATCCCAGCTTCTAGGCCAAATGCCTGTCCCTCTTGAGTGATTTTTAAATCCGGAAAAAAAAAAAAAAGTCCCGAATAGGCAGATGTGCAGAGATGGACAGCGGGTGAGGGGCTGCCAGGGAGCTGGGGCTGGGAGCTGGAGGGGCGGGGAGTGGCCGCTGATGAGTGCAGGGGTTGTTTTCGGGGTGAGGGAAAGGGTCTGAGGTTGGGTCTCACAACTGGGAACTGTGCTACAAATCACCGAGTCGCCCACCTCAGAAGAGACCCTGCGTGGCGTGTGAATTACAGCACAGCAAGCTGTTTTAAAAAACAACATTGTGGTTGTTAGAAGTTCATAGGCAGCATTTCCACAGTAGATTGTGGGTAGTTAGCACTTCGAATACTGGCTGTACTTAACCAGGCAGACAATGGAACTATGCATAGTGAGGTGAAAAGTGAATTATGGAAAGGGTAGTGTTTTGCTGTTAGTATTTTTGAAGCAGTCGAACCCTTGGCCGTGCACTAAGTGGTGCATTTTAAATTTACGTTTAGCCCTAAGCCAACCGTGATGAGTGTGTGTGGTGCAGTGGGTCCGCGGTTTTCTTGTGGACCTGTGTTACACCTGTAAACTTGCTAAGACTTCTCTCACTGCATTCCCACGTCAGCCGTCTGTGCAGTGTGCCCTCTTCCCATAGCTGTGTTTATCCCGAGCAGTACAACGCAGGGGCGTGCTGTGCGCATGTTCTCACTCGTGTTAAAGAATGTGTGTTATCCGTTCCTATTACAAGGGCTGTTTAACAGATGCCTAGCAGTCATTTGTGGCTGTGCTCCGGTCTGCCTTTGTCCCGACAGAGATAAGAAGGGCAGAAGAAGATCTGTTATAAATTCATGTACCCTTGAAGGTACGATCATTAGACGACTGGTGGAGTGGCAGACAGGCCAGATGGCTGGGACGCCATCTTTGTATCAGGTTGTCTGTCTCCTCTCTGCAGTTAGAGTCACCATCACCTCTTCAAAGCAGGTGGTTGGAGCAAGGGAGATCGCAGGTTTTAAGACTGGACAGGTTGGGTGCCGGTCCGGGCAGGTTGGGTGCTAGCGTGCGTGTGTTGTGACTGTGCGTGTGTTGTGACCGTGACTCCTCGCGTGGCCGTTCTCACGCTCCGTGTACATCACAGCCTCTCCACGTGGCTGTGTACTCAGCCACGGGCAGATCTTTCTTTAATACTTCACCTCATTCAGAAAATATGTTTTAGATTCTAGCCTTATTTATTATTTTGTTTTTTCTTTCTAGACGAGAACAGATGTTAATAGGGCATATTTACTTTCACATGTGTTAAAGAATAATACAGCAGTTTCATACGTGATTACTGTGCAGGTTCTACAGGGGGAGTTTTAATGCCTTGGCTATACAATGTGACCAATAGAACTGCAGAGCTACCTGCTTATTTAATAGAGGCACTCAAAACGTTAGCTATAACGTGGGCAGCAGTAGTGTTCCCTCTTTGTTTTAAAATTCCTGTCTCCTGATGGCAGCGAGCTTCCCTTTGAGAGTGAGCTGTCACCATCTGGAAAGTGGGTGTGGGCTGGTCTGTGGGTGTTCCTAGAGGAGTGGTTCTGCTGCGTGTCTGCTGTAACAGAGTGGCACGAGCTAGATCTGCCCTGAGGGCATTTCCGCCCTGTGGCTTACGAGTCTTTCACACGCGTGTTTCTTCAACCTGCGTAGGGGTCAGGCCCAGCCTCCGGCCCAGCGACGTCACTGAACGCGATGAACGTGGACGCCGTGTGTGAGAAGCTGAAGCAGATCGAAGGGCTGGACCAGAGCCTGCTGCCTCAGTACTGCGCCACCATCAGGAAGGTGCTGAGCGCGGCAGGGCCCCTACCCCGGGGGGGGGGAGCCCTACCTGGGGAAGACCCCCCTACCTCGGGAGGACCCCTACCTGGGGAGGACCCCTACCTGGGCAGGACCCCCCTACCTCGGGAGGACCCGCCTACCTCGGGAGGACCCTCCTACCTGGGGAGGATACACCCTACCTCGGGAGGACCCCCACCTCGGGAGGACCCCCACCTGGGGAGGACTCCTACCTGGGGAGGACCTCTACCTCGGGAGGACCTCTACCTCGGGAGGACCTCTACCTCGGGAGGACCCCCACCTCGGGAGGACCCCTACCTCGGGAGGACCCCCACCTGGAGAGGACCCCTACCTCGGGAGGACCCCCTACCTCGGGAGGACCCCCCCACCTTGGGAGGACCCCTACCTCGGGAGGACCCCTACCTCGGGAGGACCCCCCTACCTCGGGAGGACCCCCCCACCTCGGGAGGACCCCCCCACCTCGGGAGGACCCTCTCCTACCTCGGGAAGACCCCTACCTCGGGATGACCCCCCTACCTCGGGAAGACCCCTACCTCGGGAGGACCCCCCCACCTCGGGAGGACCCCTACTTGGGGATGACCCCCCACCTCGGGAAGACCCCTACCTCGGGAGGACCCCTACCTCGGGAGGACCCCCCCACCTCGGGAGGACCCCTACTTGCGGATGACCCCCTACCTCGGGAAGACCCCTACCTCGGGAGGACCCCCCTACCTCGGGAGGACCCCCCCCACCTTGGGATGGCCCCCACCTCGGGAGGACCCCCACCTCGGGAGGACCCCTACTTGCGGATGACCCCCTACCTCGGGAAGACCCCTACCTTGGGAGGACCCCCCTACCTCGGGAGGACCCCCCCCACCTTGGGATGGCCCCCACCTTGGGATGGCCCCTACCTCGGGAGGGCCCTGACAGGGCTCTGCCAAATGGGGAAGCAGCAAAGGGAGTCGCGAGTCTGTCTGGTGTGGTGAAGTCGCCCTGTCACCTGGTCCTTTGTAAGTGGGAAGAGAAAACAAAGCAGTTAGAGTACAATGTAATTTTTAACGAATGGTCCCGGGGTCAGTAAGCAAAGGAATGCCTTGATGAGGTCAGCGTCCCGAGGGGCTCCACGTTGATGGAAACAGTTCCTCGCTCTCCTGAGGGACTCCACGTTGATGGAGACAGAGCGCTGCAGTGTGGGACTGGAGATTGGAGGCCGTTCTATGTTGCATCTTCTTTCATTGTGATCCTTCTGTGACTTAATTACCAAAGGAAGCCGCACTTGCTGCGTTTCCCCCAGAACCTCACTTTTGTGTCATGGGACTTAGGAGGCTGTCACATTTAACGACATACTTGGGTTTGCGAGGCCGATGCATCTGTGTCCTGTTACCACTTCTGAGACCCTGTTCTTGCAATTCTGGCAGTGACCCTGACACGGGACAGGACCCTGGACTGCAGGGCGGGCTTGCCCTGGATGAGAGAGGTTGGCTGAGCCCAGGTTCAGTCGATTTTTCCACCAGGTGACACTTTCTGTATTACAGTGCGGCGATAAATTGGTGCAGTATTAAGTCTCTGATGCTGGCATGCTTCAGAGAATGGCATCGAAGAAATTCTTAGGAGAATTGTGAGCATGCGCACCTGCCGTCTTCCCCTGTTAGCAGCCTGCGTAGAGTCGTAGAGTCAGGGGTTTCGGGTAGTGTCCGGTTCCTGACAGACGGTCCCCGTGTATCCGCGTCTGCCTGTCCCGTGCACACACCCCCTCCTCCTGCAGCTCTTGGAGCCGGGGGTCCCTCCTGCCCGCGACTCGCAGACTGTTCACAGCCGCTGGTTTGCCTCCCGGGGCTGTTGCTGGGGCTCGGCACAGCCTTGTTCCTGCACCTGCTTCTTTAACTTGAAACATAGATATTCCGGAACTTTACCACAGCCAGTAAAGTTGGGTTTTATGTTTCTGAAATCGGGGTGTTATCTATTATTCATAGAGAAAAGGCTCTTTTTCTTGTTTGAGAAAAAGACACCCAGAGTGGGCGATCATTCTCTGTGGTTCGGTGGACTGGGAAGTTAGTGGGTGGACATTCTGTGTGGTGGAAGTGGTCTCCTGCAGCCGGTGGACGGGGCTCGGTGGACAGGGCTCGGCGGACAGGGCTCGGCGGACGGGGCTCGGCGGGCGGACTGCAGTGGCCAGCGCTCCTGGGAGGGCTGAGGGCTCGGTCCTCTCCTGGCCGCTTGTCTTCATATCCCTGCTGGGATTTGAAGATCAGACAGAAAAAGGCACGTCTTGTTGGAGCCGTGAGGGGGCAGGCGGTCTTGGACACAGCAGGGCGGATTGGCTGGGGGTGGTCGGAAGAGTGGCTTGTTTACTAGAATGCCTGAGTCTTAGGAAAGAAGGGAATGGCTGACGTTCAAAGTGTGTGTTCGCTGAATTGTCACAGGAGTGCACTTCCTTACTCAGCCTTTCTGCTCTCTGACGACCTTTACGAAACTAAATATGAGTGCTTTTAAAATCACTAGAGAGAATAATTCACATTTTGTTTGTCTTTATACTTGTTGCTGTTTGTACGCAGGCAAACATAAACGGCCGTGTATTAGCTCAGTGTAACATTGAGGAACTGAAGAAGGAGATGAATATGAACTTCGGAGACTGGCACCTTTTCCGAAGCACGGTAAGAGACTTCAATGTTGTCACATAGCATTTCTGTTGTCACGTATAAGGTGGCTTACACCAGCAAGTACAGGTCTAAACTGACACTTTTTCATAGTTTGAAAACAGTTGCTAGCTGGGTTTTTCCTTTGCATCCAAGCCTGTTTCTGGAGAACGTTCGCAGCAGCGCTGGGCACCCGCTGCCTGTCTGGGCGCTGCAGCAGAACTCTGAGGGGAAGCAGCCCCAGGCCTGCCTTTCACTGGACAGCCCCGCCCTTCGCTGCCAGCTGCCCTGGAAGGAACCCCCCACCCATCCCCCGGGGTCGCCCTCCATCCCTGGTGGAGGTCCTTGTGCCTGGCGCCCACCGCCGACTGCTCACTCTGGCGTGTGTCGCCAGCAGGGATCCTGCCCGGTGGGCTTAGCCAGAGCCCCTGCCCCTGGTGCTTCCTGTCCCTGCCCCCGCCCCCGCCCGCTGCGCTCTGAGCTCCCGCGTCCTGCTTGGAGTGGGAGGGGAGCCGGGCCTGTGCTGAGGCCTCCAGGTAGTCTGCGCACTGCTGCGCGCCAGCTCCGCTCTGCTTCGACACACGCCACTTGTGCCTTGTTCTCCAGTTAAAATTGGAAGTGATAGGATTACGAGCACGAGTAAGTTAGCGTGCAGGACTGTGTATACACAGCGCTTCCTGCCATTGCACCTTTTAGTATGAATTAAAGACGAACGTAAGCAGATGTGTGCATCCACCGGAAGTGCACCTAGGGGCGTGCGCGTGCTCACTTCATCTGCGTAACCTCACGGTGTTTCTCTTTGGAAACGTTCCGAAAGAGCTTCTGCAGCGCGGCTGTCAGTGTAGACGTCGTGGCTGTCAGTGTAGACGTCACGATTGTTCTTCTGTTAAGGTACTGGAGATGCGGACTGCAGAGAACCAGGTGGTGCCGGAAGACCCACGGTTCCTGGGCGAGAACGCGGGCGGCGCCGGCGCCCACAGCGAGCCCGCCCGGCGCGCCTCGCACACGGAGCTGCCGCACACGGAGCTTTCCAGCCAGGCTCCCTACACGCTGAACTTCAGCTTCGAGGAGCTGAACACCCTGGGCCTGGACGAGGGGGCCCCGCGCCACGGGCATCTGAGCTGGCAGGTGGGACCCCCGGGCGCATCTCCCGTGACGGGGCACGCGGCCGCTGTGTGTCGCTGAGGACGCCTGGCTGCGGCTTCACGCCCCTGCAGAGACGCGGGGGCACCTGCGTGTCGGGACGGGGCAGCTTGCAAGGCAGGAGAGAGGGCGTTTCTCAGGTTGCTAGGAGCCCTGACAGCAAGGCAGCAGGGCGTGGCATGGAGAGTAACAGGGACTTGGCTGTGGCAGTTAGGGGTGCAAGGTCAACTTCCGCCTTGCTCTTTCCCCGGGGAGTCGTTACGACTTGGCTGAGGGGCCAGGGCTGTGGCTCAGCAGGTTAAAGCCGCGGCCTGCAGCACCGACATCCCCTACAGGCGCCAGTGCCAGTCTCGGCTGCTTCTCTTCTGGTCCTGCTCCCTGCTGATGCACCTGGGAAGGCAGTGGAGGCGGCCCAAGTGCTTGGGCCCTGCATCCACGCGGGAGACCTGGCCGAGGCTCCTCGCTCCTGGCTTTGGTCTGGCTCCGCCCTGGGTTGTTGTGGCCATTTGGGGAGTGAACCAGTGGATGGAAGACCAGAGAGAGGTCTCTGTCTCTCCTTCTCTAACTCTACCTCTCTAACAAATCAATCAATCAAAAAAAAAAAAAAAAAGACTGGGCTGAGACGTGTTTGCTGGAGAACATGGTGTATGTTCTGCTGAGCGCCGTCCTTTGGCATTGCAGTGCGTACACACTCTGCCTGTGTTTTTGTGAGATTTATCTTACTTATCTGAAAGGCAGAGTGGTGGAGAGAGGGAGACGCACACACAGAGAGTCCATCCCCTGGTTCACTCCCCAGATGGTTGCAGGGCTGGGCCAGGCTGATGCCAGGAGCCTAGCGATCATCTGGGTCTCCTGCCTGGGTGGCAGGGGGCCAAGGACTCTGGCCACGCACTGCCCCCTCCCAGGTGCATTAGCAGGGAGCTGGCTGGAACAGCAGCGCGACTCCGCCATGGATGCGGTGTAGCAAGGGGCTGAACCCGCTGCCGCACGCAGGTCCCACACGGGATCGCGGAAGAGGAAGGGCAGGTTTGGAGAAGCAGGCGTAGAAGCAGAAGTGAGAGATGCATGAGGAGGAGCCGGGGAGAAGAGGGGAAGCAGCAGGCCAGGGCCCCGGAGAGCAGCGGGGGTGGGGGGGGCAGCCCCGGGGCCCGGCCGCTGTGGGGGTGCTGGGCTTGCTGGTGGAGACGCTCTGTGTCGTTTCCTGGAGTTGAGGAGCCTCAACTTGGGATACAATGCCTCCTGGCACGTAAGCTCAGTGCGGCCTCGCCCTGTCTCTCGGAAGCCCTCGGCCTGCCCTGTGTGGCCCCGACAGCTGCTCCCGGACTTGTCTTCCCCCAGGCCCCCCACGCCCCTCCTGAGAACTGCCGTGTTCACGGCGTTAGGGGTGGAGACTGAGACACTGCTGAGCGCTCGTTCATGTGTTTCAGGACAAGCAAACTGCGTGTTAATGAAATAACATTTTTATGAAAAATGACTACAAAGGGGCTTGAGATAATTTGTGGGAAGATGGAATTAGAAGCACTTGCTCATTTTCCATGAATTGTTTGAATTCCTCTCATGTTTTTCCCGGTGGTGAAACTCACAGGAGCACTGTGGTTTGGCGTGTCTCTTCCACGCCTGGCTGCAGAGCTGACGACCGCATGCGTGCCGCGTGCGTGCCGCATGCGTGCCGCGTGCGTGCCGCGTGCGTGCCGTGTGTGTGCCGCGTGTGTGCCGCGTGCGTGCCGCGTGCGTGCCGCGTGGCCCTGGACATCCCTGGGCCCCTGGGTGGGCGGGGTTGAAAGGCAGACCCCACGCTGGCGTCCTTAGGGGGTGCTCCCAAGCTGCACGTGAGAACAGTGGTGCCAATGGGCCGGCCAGGCGGGGACGACTCAGGGACTTGGACACTTTCGTCTGGCAGAAGGAGCACGCTGCTTGCCTCTGTGTCTTTGTCTTGGCTTTTGCTCCAGCCAGGAGCCCCTTCCGGGTCTCCCATGCAGGTGCAGGGGCCCAAGGACTGGGCCATCCTCCACTGCTTTCCCAGGCCACAGCAGAGAGCTGGATTGGAAGTGGAGCAGCTGGGACTCAAACCAGCGCCCATATAGGATGCCGGCACTGCAGGCGGTGGCTTTACCTGCTATGCCACAGTGTCGGCCCCTCTTAAACTCCTTTGATACTCTTTCTTCCATTTCTCCCTTCCGTACTTTTTACTCCCCATGTGTTAGGTCTTCTGGATCTACAGCAACTTTAATCTTAAAACGTCACGTTGGAGCTTACCCTTTCGAAAACACTGCCTCTCTGTCTCCCGGGCTGACTCTGGCTGCAGCCTCTGCTGTTGTTCTCCGAGCGCTGGCTCTTGGCTGCTGCGTTCTCTGATAAACACCTGGCTTGCCCGGTGACGTTTCTCGGTGCATTTTCTTCCTTCTGACCAAAGTCTGAGAGACACTCTCTTCACATAAATTGAGAGAGGTCCCTACACTGATGGCTTGTGCTTTGTGTTTGAGCTGTCTTACGTCTCCTCTTCCAAGAGGAATTTATTCATTTTCTCAACAAACCTGATTTTTGCCTTAAATAAAAGTTAAAAATTTAAAGTTATAAAAACAAATGCTTGGCCGGTGTCGTGGCTCACTAGGCTAATCCTCCGCCTGCGGCGCCGGCACCCTGGGTTTTAGTCCCTGTTGGGGCGCCGGATTCTGTCCCGGTTGCCCCTCTTCCAGGCCACCTCTCTGCTGTGGCCCAGGGAGTGCAGTGGAGGATGGCCCAAGTGCTGGGGCCCTGCACCCGCATGGGAGACCAGCAGGAAGCACCTGGTTCCTGGCTTCAGATCGGCGCAGCGCCAGCCGTAGTGGCCATTTGGGGGGGTGAACCAACGGAAGGAAGACCTTTCTCTCTATCTGTCTCTCTCACTGTCTAACTCTGCCTGTAAAAAAAAAAAAAAATGCTCAGGGTCTTTGTTAATGTAGCCTTTATACTTTTAAACATTAGCAATAAAATAGTTTTAAAATGGACATAAGGCTTTCTAATAGAATTACTCATGAGTTCACAGCTTTTATTAAAGTGTCATCCAGAATTCTTGTGAAAGAATTTGGTATTTAATGACTTTTGAGACTGTTTACGTGTATTTCCAAGCTGACGCTCACTGTCTTTTCCTGCTCATCTGAGTTCTGAGAGTGTTTTATCTCCCTTTCCTTCGCAGTCACAAACTCGCAGAACTCCGAGTCTTTCGAGTCTCAACTCCCAGGATTCCAGCATCGAAATTTCGAAGCTCACTGACAAGGTGCAGGCTGAGTATAGAGATGCCTACCGAGAGTACATCGCTCAGATGTCCCAGCTGGAGGGGGGCCCGGGGTCCGCCACGCTGAGCGGCAGGTCGTCCCCCCATAGCACCTACTACCTGGGGCAGAGCTCCTCGGGCGGCTCCATCCATTCTAATCTCGAGCAAGACAAGGGGAAGGAGAGCGAGCCGAAGCAGGAGGACGGGAGGAAGGCGTTCCTAATGAAGAGGGGCGACGTCCTGGACCACTCCTCCTCGGGGGTGTCCACCAGCGACGCCTCGCCCCTGGACCCCATCACAGAGGAGGACGAGAAGTCCGACCAGTCGGGCAGTAAGCTGCTCCCGGGCAGGAAGCCCTGCGAGAGGCCCAGTCTCTTCCAGACCGATCTGAAGCTCAAGGGCAGCGGGCTGCGCTACCAGAAGCTGCCGAGCGACGAAGACGAGTCGGGGCCGGAGGAGTCGGACAAGACCCCGCTGCTCCGGGACGACAAGGAGGGGGGCGTGGCGGGCAAGGCGGAGCGCGCGGCCAAGTCGCCGGAGCACGGCGCCGAGCCGATCCGCACCTTCATTAAGGCGAAGGAGTACTTGTCGGACGCCCTCCTGGACAAGAAGGACTCGTCCGACTCGGGCGTGCGGTCCAGCGAGAGCTCCCCCAGCCACTCCCTGCACAACGAGGCGGCCGACGAGGCCCAGCTGGAGAAGGCGAACCTCATCGAGCTGGAGGACGACGGCCGCGGCGCGGCTCGCGGGCTGCCGCACAGCTTGAGCGGGCTCCCAGAGCCCGCGCTGGCCCGCATGTCCATCTGCTCGGAAGACAAGAAGAGCCCTTCCGAGTGCAGCTTGCTGGCCAGCAGCCCGGAAGAGAGCTGGCCCACGTGCCAGAAGGCCTACAACCTGAACCGCACGCCCAGCACCGTGACCCTGAACAACAACAGCGCCCCGGCCAACAGAGCCAACCAGAATTTCGATGAAATGGAGGGGATGCGGGAGACCCCTCAGGTCATCTTGAGGCCGAGTTCCGGCCCCCACCCCACCGCCATGCAGAATGAAAATCTAAAGAGCATGGCGCATAAGCGCGGCCAGCGTTCCAGCTACGCGAGGCTCTCCAAGGAGTCCTCGGAGCTGCACGCGGCCGCCCCTTCTGAGAGCACAGGCTTCGGAGAGGAACGGGAGAGCATCCTCTAGGGGCGGCAGCAGTGGCGCCCCTCACCTCCCGACAGCATCGCCCTGCGCCTCCATGCGCGCAGCACTTCCCCCTGTAGTACCGTTCACCCCAGATGACGCGCGCAGGACTTTGGTGAGAGGGACCTGCGCAGAGCAGGCGTGGCAATGAGGCGTCCTAACGAGGAGCCGCCCACCTCCCTGCTCTCCCTGGACCTCCCTGACCCCCAGCCCAGGCAACGGAGATGAGACGGATCGCACGTGCTGCTCCATCCGCCCCAGAAAAGCAGTCCCCAGGCGCCCGTTTTGTAGAACACGCGATTGTCATTGGTAGAAGCCAGGGCGTGGAGCAAGTGGGAGGGGTTTAACCTAGGTCAGAATTCGCGGGTTCTGCCGCAGCCCAGAACCTAGAGGCGCTCGCTCGCTCCACGGAGAACCAGCGTTGTAGGTAACAGACACGTTGCTTACCGAAGAGGTTTTACATTTCCAGTAAGGAATGGGCAGAGTGTTTTTAAAGCCGGATAAGGGAGTGAGTCAGCAGTACCAGAAGCGGGTGCCCGGGCCCCAGGAGCTGTCAGGAGGGCAGGTGGGAGCGGGGCGTAGCGTCCGCTTCCCTGGATTCTCTTCCCTGCCAGTCCCGGCCTGGCTGCCCGCGCGTTCGCCGGTACCCGGCGAGCCCCGGTGCCTCCTGCAACCTTCTCCAGGGGTGTGCGAGTCCTGGTTCCAGAGTCCAGGAGTCGGGCGCTGTGCTAATAGGCGCTAATGCTTGTGGGCCTGGGCGACTGGGGTACTTCCGTCCCGAAGGTCAGGGAGCACTGGTGAATGGCAAGGACATAGGAAAAGCCCGAATCCTTGCTTCCATGCCCGCTTGTCTTCTGTCTGTGCTGGGTCAGCACGTTCACGCTGGGGGAGGAGCCTGAGGAAGGAAATGCCTTCTAAAAGGGGCTGTAAACATCAAACAAAGCAAGAGTAGCAACAAGATCAAACTGACGTAACCACGACTTCGTTTAGCATTCGTTTGTTTAGCGTTAGCAGAGTTAAGATGATGATCACATTCAGTAGCGTGAGGACTGGAAGCTTCCCGGCCGTCACGCACTGAAAATTGTTGTCGTTTTAGTGTAGCTCGTCTGCGTGGAGTGGACTCCGGCAGTGTGCGCTGAGCCCCAGGAGTGCAGGCCGTGACGTCACCGCGGCGCGGCACCTGGGGTTAGCGCTCCGCAGCCGCGGCTGTCCCGTGATGGATTTTTGTTGGTGTGCTGATTAAATTATTTGCTTGGCCAGCCACTGTGGGTGCCCTTTTGTGTTTCATTGTCTGCATGTTTGAGTGGAATTTAGCATTTTAATAATATGTTTATTTTGCACGATTTTCAACAAATGTTTAATTTAAGAAGGCAGTATGATATAGACATACATGGAAGTGTTAGCATTTTAATATTTATAGTGTTCATTAGTTTGCGGTATTGTGTAATTCCTGACTCTCTCAAAGGCAGTATTTTGTTCCTTTTCAGATGTGTGGTTGCAGGGTAATGTCATTGGAGAGTATTCTTTATACTGTTTGTGGAATTAATACTAAAGCATTACATGTACAAACAGACTTAGGAAATAATAAAACAATGCATGCTATTCTGACTCATGGATTTTTATTTACTACAGCGATGACAGACCTGTTGCCTTGCGTGCTGTGGGGTCGTAGGTCTGAGGCGCACGGACAGCTGTGTAGTTGGCAGACGGCTCTGAGCTACCCTGTGGCCCTTCTGAGAGAAGGTGGCTCCGGAGGCCAGGGTCCGCCTGGTGCTTTGGGGACACTTGCCGGTGCCCAGCGACACTGTGCAGTGTCTCCGGCCGCAGGCTCGGGGATCCGGGTCCTTGGAGGATATCCACTTATTACGGGGAGGTTCTGGGGAAGTCTGCTTTTCTCGTACTGACACAGAAATCGCCAAAGCAGATGGGTTACTGAGTCACACCATCATCCCTTCGAGTGTGTCAGGGATGTGTCTCGGTGTCTATTTATAACAGAGCTTACTCCCAGATACGCAGAAGCCTGCTTTGAGCTGGGAGGAGTCCAAACCCTCGGACCTTCCCCGAAGCCACAGACAGTTGGCCGTGTGAGCGCGGCGTCTGGCGGGTCGTTCCCTTTGTCCACCGGGAGTAGTGCCATCTGGCAGCAGAGGCCGCAGGGGTGTGGGGGCCGAGCCCGCTCCACGGTGCTGGGGGTCGAAGGCTCGTCCGTCCTGCTCGGGGACGCTCGTGCATTGGGAGCGGAACCGACATCTTCCAGAGTGAAAGGCGAATTTGTCTCCCTGCTGTTTCACTTGCGTGTTTTATTTATATAGTGGTCAGAAACACTTTCATTGCCCAGCTAAGGAATTTGGGATACTTACTTGCTACTGTTCTTACCCTAAGTTGGGAACCTCTTAGATCATTTCATGCTGTAGTGCTGTAGTAAAATAGATTCGTAATCATTTTTGTCTTAAATACTAACCATTAGGAAATTTCTTCCCACATGAAAAAAATTTTTTTTTCTGGCTACAGTACTAAACTTAAAGGCTTTAAGACCATGTAACTTTTGGCTACACCAGGGATTCTCAGCCTATTTGGAAGTCCTGCCGAGTTTAGGAAGCCCTGAATTCCTGGTAGCCCCTGCGTGCATGGCGGGGACTACCAGGACCAGGGGGCTGGGGGCCCCCTTCCCGTCCTCGAGGTTGGAGGGAAGCGGCGATAAGTGCGCTTCCTTGGCGGCACCTGAGCAGACGGAGCCTGAGCCGGGATGCTGCTTGGCATGGCAGAGGGCGGAGTCGGGGGTGCCGCTGGCCGGACCCCCGGAAGGCTCGCATTGCTGGTTCCCAGGCTGTGGTCCGCCCCGCCCCGCCCCGCCCCGCCCCCGAGTTCTGAGCGAGCCGCGATGATGGCCGCGATGATGGCCGTGCATCGAAGCGTGGGGGTTGATGCCACGGAGTCTGCCCTGGACGGTTCTTTAACGGCTCCTCGCTTCACAAAGGCTGAGAATCCCTGGTTGAGACAGGTTACGTAGAGAATCTGAAATCCGATGTAATTGTGAACCCTTTCGTGCCTAGGGAGAAAACGCTGCCTTTGAGATAGATAGAGCGTCCGAGGAGCCAGTGTAAACTGAGGTATGTAAAAACTTGGTTTTCCCGATCAATGAGCTGTAAGGCAGCTGTTGGAGAACAGTCCCCGTCAATGAGAGAATTCGCATTCTTCGCGCCTGGGCACACGGAGATGAGTAAGAAGCATCCCCAGTGACTGCCCGCAGCGCCCGCTGTGTGCCCCCCAGTGACTGCCCGCTGTGTGCCCCCCAGTGACTGCCCGCAGCGCCCGCTGTGTGCCCCCAGTGACTGCCTGCAGCGCCCGCTGTGTGGACCCCAGTGACTGCCCGCAGCGCCCGCTGTGTGGACCCCAGTGACTGCCCGCAGCGCCCGCTGTGTGCCCCCAGTGACTGCCCGCAGCGCCTGCTGTGTGGACCCCAGTGACTGCCCGCAGCGCCCGCTGTGTGCCCCCAGTGACTGCCCGCAGCGCCCGCTGTGTGCCCCCCAGTGACTGCCCGCAGTGCCCGCTGTGTGCCCCCCAGTGACTGCCCGCAGTGCCCGCTGTGTGCCCCCCAGTGACTACCCACTGTGTGCCCCCCAGTGACTGCCCGCAGCGCCCGCTGTGTGCCCCCCAGTGACTGCCCGCAGCGCCCACTGTGTGCCCCCCAGTGACTGCCCGCAGCGCCCGCTGTGTGCCCCCAGTGACTGCCCGCAGCGCCCGCTGTGTGCCCCCAGTGACTGCCCGCAGCGCCCGCTGTGTGGACCCCAGTGACTGCCCGCAGCGCCCGCTGTGTGGACCCCAGTGACTGCCCGCAGCGCCCGCTGTGTGGACCCCAGTGACTGCCCGCAGCGCCCGCTGTGTGCCCCCCAGTGACTGCCCGCAGCGCCCGCTGTGTGCCCCGTGGTGGAGGGTGTGGGGACAGCGAGGAGCGCGCCCAGGCTTGGCTGGGGCTGCCGGGAGTCCGCTGTGCCGGGGTGAAAGGGCTCGCTCTGGTGGCCGGAGGGTGACACCGTCCTGCGTTTCCAACACAGGGAGGTACTGTGGGGACAGAAACGTCTATGAACAGCGGGGCTGCTCGAGACGGCTGTGTCCCTGTAAGTTCACGTGAACCCGAAGCGTCCCAGGTGGAAAATGCAGCCAGTCGCCCAAGGTCAGCAGCGCGGCGCTCGGTGGGGAGCCGGGGTCCCCCGGTGACGGCTGAGGGTCCTGGGGCGCACTGCAGGCCGCGGGAGGGCCACACTCAGCTGCAGGGCTAGGTTCTGCCTGCGCGTTGCCTTTGCACTGTGTGCAGCCCACGCTGAGGCGGACACCGGCTGTGTTTGCAAACTGCTAGGAAGGGCTCCCGGAGTCCGGAGCTGACGAGCGAGCAGAGCCCAAGCCCGGCGTCCTCTTCATGCCTAGTGATGAGTGTAGAAGGCAGGCAACGAAGCACAGAATGCCAAGTCAAACCACATGATCGGGGCTTGAATAAATGAAATTTCTACCTTTGGAAAGAATGCGGAATGATAGGCTCTGTGTTAGTCAAATTAAGGAGCTGCCTGGAACAAGTGGGCTAGTTTTGATTGGCCGATAGTTTGCAACCGTAACATGTTTTATACTGACCTCCCTCGTTTTCTTTCAAGGCTTCCGGGCTGTGGATCTTGGTACCCGGCCCATGACCCGCCCCACCTGCCTTTCTCATTCTTCCGCCAGTTGGGTCCACTGCTCGCGGGCCGGCTGCCCACCAAACCCAGGGGTGGAGACGCCCCCGGGTGTGCCGCCGGCTGCAGAGACCCGGGCGCCCCCGCCCCTTTGATTCGTTCCCCGCCGTCGTAGGATCTAAGTTAGCGGAATGACGTGTTCCGGCGTGGTATCTCGGGGCGAAGCCCACACTTGCAGCGTGTGAGCGAGCTGCACGGTCAGGCCGTTCTCGGAGGCCGTCAGATGTCGGGGAGGAGCAGCCCAGTCCCTGCGCGTGCGCCTTTTAGCTGGCTTGGAATTTGTGGACGCTGTAGTTTCTACTTAATGCAAATTCAGCTCTTATTTTGAAGGAGATTATTTTCCTCTTGGGTTTCTGGGCTTTTCCGGGGTTCCGTTCCGCCGTTTTGCGTCTGAAGTGGCTTAAGTCGTTGGAGCACGAACTCCCGACCCGGCCGGGCCACGGGCGGCTGCAGGACAGTTCCCGCACTTGTGGACACGTGGACAGGACAAAGACGTGCGCGTGCCACAGCCTTGTGACCCCTCGCGCTGTCAGCGAGCGGGGGCGTGGCCCACAGACCCCGCGCGGCTCAGGAGCCATGCGCACGTGGCGCCTGGTGCCTGGCTCCTTTCAGGGAATGGGCCCGCCTTTCTCCCACAGCCCCGGGGCTGGAGGGCTGCAGCCGCCGGGGCAGGCGGCCACACGAGCCCGTGTCGGTCCCGAGTTCACATGGTCCAACGCTGCTTTTGACTTTGGGGTACGGAGACCATCTTTATGCGGAGCTGGGGCCAGCGTGTTTTCTCTGAGCTGCAGATCCTGACGCACCATCGCAGTGAGAATGTTTAGTGCTAGGTCCATCACAGGCAGTCCCAGATGTAGCTTTCCTATCTACGGCTCAGTTTCTCCACTTGCAGTTAGGTTCCGTATTATTCTCGAAGCCCACCCCTCGGGGGTCTCCACCACGCCCCGTGCCAGGCAGACCGCTCTGGTCGGGTCTGGCCTGGACTAAGCACGTTGTGCTGGGTGTGTGCTACACGAGCGGGCCGTTCTGTATGATGCTAAGGCAGGCTCGCCGCTGGGACAACAGGCCCCAGTCTCTGACCTCCCGCCTTAGATGCTTGCTTGTTGGCGCTGCCGTGTCTGTTACTGAAGTTCATACAGAGGCTCAGGGGCGGGCTACAGGGGCCTCCGGCCCGCCCTCGGCCTGTGGTCAGCTCCTAGGAGAGGACGGGGAGACCTGGGCTGCGCGCACAGTGCCTTCCCCCACATCCCACCGGCGGCCCCAGGCGGGGAGGAAGGGGGCGGGGAGCGCCCTCTGGTGGCTGCCGGCGGGGAGGCAGCTGTCTTCCTCGGGCTCAGAGGAGCCTCCGGGCACCTGCTGCAGGGGAGATGCGGAGCCTCTGGTCCAGGTCCCCGGGAAGCTGAGCAGGCTGCGGGGGACATGAGCGAGGCCAGGACCACGAGAGTCGCGTGTCCCAGCTCCTCTAGAACCCCTTTCTCCAAACACGCTCAGACCTTCCGGCCCACCCAGAACCTGCTGACCCCCAAGGTCTGATAGGAATACAAAATCAACACCGACACAGCCTCCCATGCCCCTGGCTGCCCCTGCCCCCCCAGGAGGAGCCCCTGCCCCCCAGGAGGAGTCCCTATCCCCCAGGAGGAGTCCCTGTCCCAGGAGGAGTCCCTGTCCCCCAGGAGGAGCCCCTGTTCCCCAGGAGGAGTCCCTGTTCCCCAGGAGGAGCCCCTGTTCCCCAGGAGGAGCCCCTGTTCCCCAGGAGGAGTCCCTGTCCCCCAGGAGGAGCCCCTGCCCCAGGAGGAGCCCCTGTCCCCCAGGAGGAGTCCCTGTCCCAGGAGGAGCCCCTGTCCCAGGAGGAGTCCCTGTCCCAGGAGGAGTCCCTGTCCCCCA